AGGTGCATAAAGTTGAGTGACTTACTGGATGATTGGTTATTTGTGGTTAAGTCAGATCAACTGAATAAGTTGGGTGACTAACCGGATTGTAAAACTTATGTAAGATCAATGAACAATTGAATGACATACTCTGGTTTAGGATGGACTTTAGATATATGACTATGGTACCACGATATGAGCTTGAGTATCAGGATCATTGGTTAGGGAGCATATATGCATTGGGTTGCATAGCTGGCTTTGATGGTGGAAGTGTACCCTATTAGGTCTAGGTAGTCATGCCCACCTCTGGTGTGTTTTGCATGTTGCCTTCTATTCAGGTTGAGACCCCCTTTGTTGTTCAGTGAGAGTCCTTTAGTATGGATATATATATGTATAGACTAGATAGATTTTGTTGAGATATCTAGGATGTATCTACGTATCAGGTCTCTGTTTGGATTTTAGTTAGGATAGAACTTGTTCGTAGGCTAGACCCACTATTATTTTTCAGGTATCAGACGGTTCCAGTCTTAGAGATTGTTCGTGCTGAGTAGAGACGGTCACTCATTCTTCCGACTGCGTAGGACTACAATTTATATTTGGTTTTGGATTTCCTTTCTAGTTTAGTTTATCTTCAGTTGGGTTTTGAATAGGGGTCCACTAGATGGATTCCCGAGTTGTATTTGTATTGGAGGTTTAGATGTACCAAAATTGTTCTTATATATAAAATTTATTCTGAGGTTTTCATTATTGAATTGTCGTTTTAGTTTTTTTTCAGCAATTTTATTTATTCCTTTTTATCATAATTGAATTCTATGTTCGATTATTGCCATTTGTTTTTGATATCCTTGGGTGTTCGGGCATGGGCCTCGCCGACCCACATATGGAAATCCGGGGGTATCACACACTTAAAGTGGCTAGTGCTTCCTTTCCAAATAAACTGGAAAGCTAGAAAGGAAGCATATGGCAACACATAGCCATTCCAATAGTTAAGTCTGAGCATCTGAAGGATCATTCATTCAAGGGATGAAAGGCTAATTACTTGGAAATAAGTGGATTGGCCAGAGCCATGAAGTGGACTTAGCTGTATTTCCAAGGTCGGCTAATTTCCTAAGTATGGAATGTTTCATTGAAAAAGGACTACAATACATGGTCCAGGTTCTATTCATACTAGAAATTACTCAACTTGCTTGTTTTACATGCATTTCCTATTAGTAGTTAGTTTTATTTTCCGAAGTACAATTAGAGTTGTAAAAAGCAATGGAAGCTACAACGGCAGCCACTATAGAAGGTTTTTTGTTATATGCCAAAGCCTCACTCAATATTAAAATCCCACGCCTTGTGATTGAGTACTCCACAAGGCATAAAATTTGGGGGGCATATGTTTACACCATAAATATTTTCCAGCTGGAAAGGTTTCTCTTGGCTAATCCCATTGGAAAAGTGATATGCAAAAAATGCAATCATGAAGCAATATGTGGCTTCATCAAATAAAGCCATTTGGTACAAGATCTACAGTTAGAAAGACGTGGACTTTCCAAAGGGACATGTGGCAAACATCTGGAAAGACATGTGTACCTTTAACCTAGTCATCAAGAATGATAACTCCCCCATTCCTATAATGTCTCCTAGTTTGTAGGAGTCACTCCAAGAATAAGGCAACCATTTGCCTTATTTAGGTGAGGAGGTTGCTAAAAAATAGCAAAGTGGGCTGAAAACATGATGCATTTACCAAAGAAAGATGAGGAAAATGTGGGACATGTGGCATGATCTGGACCTTCCAGATATAATTTCTCAACTGCTGCTGCAACTGTATGAACTGCTGCCTTTCCATCTGGGAAGTTTCAAAACGTGGGATAAAGCCTACAAACATGCATTCAACCACCAAAGACCACTACTTATCAGTTGTAGATCATGGGAGAACATGTTCTTACATGTATTAACACTATGAGAAGACTAAGGAAGACATAGGACACGTGGCATGATCCAAACCTTCCAGGTAGAAGTTCTCAACTACTGCTACAACTGCTGCAAGAACTACTGCATTTCCATCTGGGCAGTTCCAGAACGTAGGAGAAGGATTGCAAACATGTATTCAACCACCAAGTCTATAATCTATCAGTTATAAATCATGGGAGAATATGGTTTTACACTTGGCAACATCTAGAGAAGGCTAAAAGATTATGGGATACATGGTAGTCCAAAATTTTACACGTGGAAATCACTGGAGCTGCCACATCAAGCTGCTGCATGCATGGAAAGCCCTATAAATAGAGCACTCAAGGCTAGTTTGCAAATGCTTCCGGCTCAGCCCAAAACACAACATCTTTGTTATTTCGTGTATCTTTCATTTTAACAATGAACTTACATTATGTCTAAACCTAGCACTTTGCTAGTTCATGTATTTTTCATTTCCGCAATGAATTTACATACTTTTATGTCGAAGTCCAGTACTTTGCTATTCTATATAGCATTCATTTCAGCAATGACTTCTCATAAGGTCTGAGTTAAGTCCAATACTTCCGTTCACTACTTTTTGTCAAGTAGCTTTCCATGTCTTCAATTCTAGCACATGCACTTCCTTTCTTCAATTCCAGCATTCACACTTCCTTTCTTACATTCCAAGTCTTGCTGTGGAGGAAAAAAATCCCCCCTCCAATGAAGATCGTCCACGTCATCACACTACAAATATATAATGTTTATTACAAGGATCCAATTAGTATCAAGCCCGAATTGGGGGAGTCTAATCCGGAACAAGCCCAAGTTAAATCTTCCTTCTATTAAGATCACTGACATTGGTCATTCGGCCCATTTATCAAGCCCAAATGATTCAAGGTACATGCAATCCCACTCAGGCCCAATAAAGACATCAACAGCCAAGGGTCAATAATATTGAACTTCTGGCCCATTGACTAAGTCGTCTGGACCAGCCGACACTCAGCCCAACTTCAATTCAAGGCAGACCAATCCTGCTAGATAAATGATTCAACAAAGAAGGCAAGTTCTGTGCAAGGAATGTTTTGCATGGAAAGTATTTTAAAAAGGAAATGATTATAATTGTAAAGAATGTCATATATGGAATGAATTGGAGGACAAGCCAGGCGAGTCCTACTATAATTCCACCACTTTATTTCATATAAATAGAGGCCTAGACCTCCAATAAAACCATCAAGCAATATACGCTTGTCTCTAAGTATTATAATTGCTTATTTTGAGTGAGTTGTATTTTTCTTTTTGTTTCTTTTAATAGAAAAAAATTTTGCACCTACACTTTAACGCCGTCTGTGGGAAACGTATAGAAATATACTCCCACTTTTGTTTCAAATTGTTTCTGTTACTACGATTTGGAATGTCGAATGGAGAATCTGTAAAATGACACCCTTCAAATGGCGATGGCTTAGTTACAACCACAACCGCCACTAGTTGATGTGGCCGCACCTCCTCCAAACCAAAACGCTCCTCCAATTAACAAGCCATAGGTCAATAGGGCACGGGCTAATGAGGGTCGGCCCAACAAAGTTCAGCAAGAGCAGAGGGCAAGATCCAAGGTGGGTGCTTCGGACAATCTTCCTCGTCGCACGCAGGACGAAAAGGAAGAGTCTAGCCGTAAGCTTACGGTATGGTCTAATAGAATTCTAGGTGATGCAGGCGTACAGGAGGCTTTTGACGAAAAAAGACTCCTGAGGATTCAGATGCCCGTCGAGATGGCCAGGGAGCATAAGAACTCTCTAGTAAAGACTCCATTCACCGATGATATATACCTCGTTGACAGACCTAAGAAATTTACTATGCCATCCTTTACCCAGTTCGATGGCGCGGGGGATCCTTCTCGTCACCTCGATCACTATGCGCAAAAGATGGCTCTGGACGATCACAATGATTCGTTCATGTGTAAGGTTTTTCCGACTAGCTTGACAGAAGCTACGTTGGAATGGTTCAGAAACAAGCCACACAAATCTATCCCAGACTACCAAACTCTTTGCACTATGTTCCTAGCTCAGTACTGCAGAAACAAGAAGCAAAAAAAGAGTATTGCTAGCCTCTTCACCATCGGGCAAAAGAAAGGGGAAACATTACAGGATTTCTTATCCAGATTTAACATGAAAGCCTTGAAAATTGTAGATTGCCATCCTGTGACTATAATATAAACATTCAAGCTTGTAATGATTCAGAGAACCAAGTTCCATACCTCTTTAGTCAAATATTCTCCTCCGGATATGCAGACTCTCAATGCTAGGGCGCAGATCTACATCCAACTTGAGGAGAATATAGCCCATCGAGCGTAGCATGCCACCCTCTTCATAGTGGAGAATAAGCCTCGGTAAAGGGTGTTGAATCCAAAAAGTCAGAAAAGCCAGCATGCCGCAGCACCGGTCACTCAGGTACTTGAGAAAAGGCAAAGGACGGAGGAAAAGTTCACACCTCTTCATACCACCTTGGCTCGGCTATTCCAAGAGAATAAAATGAAATTCACAGCCCCTCAGCCAATGAAGTAACCCTTGGAGCAAAGGGACAAGAGCAAGCACTGCGCCTACTATAGAGATTACGGGCATATAATTAATGATTGCAGATCCCTTAGGTGAAAATTGGAGAATATGATAATCAGGGGTGAGTTAGCAAACTACCTCACAACAAAGGAGTACGTGAAGCCGCGGGAGGTCAACCCTCGGAGAGTGGAAGGTAACCAAGTAAAGGTCATCTATGCAATACATGGGAGATCAGAAGATAACCAAGAGTCAGAAGAAGTATATATATTCAGGCTAAGAACAGCCCATAAGCTAAGAAATTTGTCCTCGGTGAACGCTATCACCTCGGGAAGTATCAATATTGGGTTCGGCAATGCAGATTTGTCTAGAGTTCAACTCCCCCATGAGGACCCACTAGTCATCAGCCTTCTAGTGGCAAACTGCATGATTAAAAGGGTTCTAATAGACCCAAGAAGCAACACCAATATTATTACAAAGGCAGTCTTCGAATAGCTTGAGATTTCATCGTCATCAATCCGGCCCACCTCTAGTCCCTTGATGGGGTTTGATGGCACGAAGGTGGACCCCCTTAGGGCAATTGATTTATCTATCATTGTGGCAAAAAGGATGTTAAAGGAGAACTTTGTTCTAGTGGAGATACATTCTTCTTATAATCTCATTATGGGAAGAGGTTGGATCCACCGAATGAACGGGGTCCTGTCTACCTTTCATCAAGTGATGAGATGCTTGTCTCCGGATGGTAAGGAGGTTATTAATCTTTGGGGAAATCAAGTCACTGCCAAAGAATGCTACATGTTGACACAGAATGAGGTAAAGAAGGTAATAAAGTAGTCCCAACCAATTGCACCTCCTGGGACTATGTCGAAATAGCAATTATAGAGCTCTCTGCCTAAGTATTTGAAAGCGGAGGATGAAGCTAAAGCTGCAAAGCCTACCAAAGAATCTCTGGAGGCTGCCAAAGTAATCCTCAGCGATCCTCAGAAAGTCAGCTATATAGGTTATTTCCCTACAGCCAAAGAAAAGAAAGCATTAATTGGTGTCATTCGACGGAACGTAGATACATTTTGTAACGACCCGGTCATTTATCTCCCTTTCTTTTTTCCTGAAATTTTACGAATGAATTTTTTTCGTTTAATTTTCCTTTCTAAACTCTATTTCTTGTCACTTAGTGTAGTCTTGAGTGCTTGGAAATGATTTCTGAGACTCTTTTCCGTGGATTGACAACTTTCTTTGAGGATCGAGTCATTTCTGCATTTTCACTTTTCAGACACTATGCGCTATTTCGCCCTTTTCCCTATTCTGTCTTATCTCTGTTTGTCACTTGTTTGGCAAAACCTCACTTTTCATACTCGGAGTTAGTTTTTGACTTCACGTACCTTCATTTTCAGTGGTTTTCTCAAAGTACGTATCTTTACTTTTGCAAGAAAGTACTCTGGTTGCTCCCGGTGTCCATAGGGGCATAGATGCAAAATTCTTCATAATCTTTTTCATTTCTTGGGGCGTTTTTCATAAATATCTTTTGAAGATATTTTATTTCAGGGGAATCTAAGAAAATATTTTTGGAAGATATTTTCATTCTGGGGTATTAGTGCAGTTAACCCTTTTTGGAGGGGCCATTGTGCAATTAACGAAAGTTATTGCAAAAATATCTCATCTGGAGCCTGGATCCTCGTACGGGATTCATTTTCACATTTTTTCGAGTCATGTACTCTTAGAATTCCGTTCTGGTCATTTTTCTCCAGTTTCAAAGTTTCTGACCCTAGTTGCCGCCGAACTTGTTCGGGGCATATCTCTCTGCTCGGGACTCAGTTTTTGACGTTGTTTCTTCCTTTGTTCATGTTTTCTCATTTAGAATCTTTTTTGTTCATGGAGTTTTGCCTTTTGAGCGCGTTTTCTCAAAATCCACTTTTCCAAACCCGGTGGGGCCCTTCCGGGGCACTTTTAGGGTTTTTCTATAAATTGGGGACTTAAAGAGAAAAATCAGAATTTTCCTCTTCTTCTTCCTCTCCCATGGCTGGCCAAGCTCCCTCCCATAGTTTCCACCTTCTCTCTCCTCCTTTGGACCACTTTTCCTTGGTGAAAAGTCTTCGGCCTTAACGTTTAATGCTTGTCTTGATGCCGCGCACCTTTCACCCTTATTAGAACCCATTTCTAACCAAATTTTGAGTTCGGGTTTGAAGTCAATTTGTGTTTTTCATGGGGCTTCCTTGGGGGTTATGTTCATCGTTTTGTCCCCGACAAAACCCTTCGGTATCGTCGGATTCGGAGCGGTTTTCATTTGGTGGCTTTTGAGATTTTCATCTCAAATCGAGGTAGGGGGTGTTATAGGTTATATTCTTGCTATCTTGCATGCTATTGATGTTTATACAACTTGTATGCTTGCTTTTGGTTCAAGATCTAGAAATTGATTTAAATTTGATTTAAATTCTACTTAATTGTACCATGCTTGTTTTCCATTTTTGACTTGATATATGGCATGGCCATGACATAGTCCTTGTTATATATTAATTTTGGATCATTTGAACAGCTTTGGAAATCTATAGATTTAATTAATTTTAAATTAATTAAATTATGCATAATGATATCTTGCTCACTTTATGAAATTGATGTGATATTTGCAATCACCATGGAATGGACATTCACATATGTTATTTTGAGAATTTTTGGAAAAATTTGATTTCTAGAGAAATCAATTAACTCTACTTAGTGTTCAAATGATTTGGACATCTAATTCATGGGGTTTTTGCCTATTTATCATGTATTATGACTTGTTGCAACTTAGCTCCATTAATGTAGTTAATGAACTTGCACCCCTGCATTGGAATAAATTAATTGTTCAAGTGTTGTCAAACAAATGATTGAATCATTAATCTTATACTAGTTGTATACTTGCATCAATGGATTCCATGTGCTATATATATCTTGGTTGTAGTTTATATAGATACACACTACGATTTCTTGACATTACACATGCCATGATAGTTGATGAACTTAGGGCATGACTTGCGTGTTCCAAAATCTTAGTTGTGCATGGAACGTGGCTAAATGCATTTCTTATATCTTGATACTATCTTGACTTGCATAACTTGTTGATTTTGGAACTTGGGATATTAATCAAGAATTGACATGGCTAGGACTTGGTTCTAGTACGGGAGATATGAGAGCTCCCTATCTTATAGTGCGCACTAGGAGAAAGGTACCCATGGGTTAATAGCCCTAACGTGATCTCAAGAGTACGGTTTTAATCGGGGTGATATTCGAGTTTCCACATTGGTTGATTTCACTCTTTAAATTTCAAGTTGCTATTCCTTGAAGATTTAAACTTGTTGTGTATGTGAAATGCTCCAATCTTGTTTCATTGCATAGATTTTATGCTTCATTCATGATTTTACTCCTTAAATTTCAAGTGTTGTATTCCTTGAAGTTTTAAGAATTTTTCGTGTTAATTGGAATGCTCCAATCTTGCTTACTTGCATAGAAATTATGCCTTGTTCTTGACTTCATGTATAACCTCTTCGTGTTAATTGGAATGTTCCAATCATGTTTTATTTGCATAGATATTATGTCATGTTCTTGATTCCATGTGTAAACTCTTTCGTGTTAATTGGAATGTTCTAATCTTGTATACTTGTATAGAAATTATGCCTTGTTCTTGAATTCATGTATGACTCTTATCGTGTTAATTGGAATGTTCCAATCATGTTAATTGCATTGATAATATGCTCTTTATACTCAAGTATCCTTCTTGTCGTGTTGTATGGATTATTCCAAGCCTTGTTCAATTACATTGATAATGTGATTCATGTTAATCTATAACTTTTCGTGTTATATGAAATGTTCCAACTTTGTTCCATTGCATAGATATTATGCCCTGTCCCTGATTTCAAGTATTATTCTTGTCATGTTGTATGGACTACTCTAAACCTTGTCAAATTGTATTGAAAATGCAATTCATGTTGATCTATACTTAAGCATCTTTCTTGTCATGTTCTGTGGATTATCCCAATCTTGATTCGTTCATATACGTATGTATATCATAATTCTTGTTGATTTATGCTCCAGGGTAGCTTAGGATGCTCCCTGAGTCTCACTTTGACATAGACGTTAGGTGGCATAAGCCCTTTGACATGTTTCACCTTAAGGTGATAAATTTGTAAAATGTTGGTCGATGCATGCTCATTTCCTACGAGTAGCTTTATGTTACTCACCCCAAAGTTACTGGGGTATATTTTAGGAACGAAGACTTGGTTCGTGATTCTTATTGTTCCTTGGGTGACTCATTGCCTTCAAGATTCCATTTCATGCAAATGTTAGCATGAAACATCATTTTGTAGACTTATATGTCAAACTTGTATTATTTGACTCCATATATGTAATGTGTACATAAGTACACCCTTTGTATTATATTTGACATGTATGAGATGAGGCCGGAGGCCAAGTAATTTGTATCCCATGTAATTTTCGACTTCATGAAATTTTATGAATATATTGAAAAATGCCAAGTTATTGTTTTGTCATGGTTGCATCGGGTGTGGGAATTCCGTTTTACTTCTTTCATATGGTCTCATTAATCATGTATAAAGTGTGGCCAAGGGCCAAATGGTCATTTGAGACCATTTCAAAATTTTGGATTTCAAAATTTCCATTTCAAGTTCATTTTTTGCCTTTTTGGCCGTCGTGTGGTCGGATTTTGACTCGGCCATTTTCGGGAGCTGTGGACCATTCTCGTGCACTTAAAATCATCATTTACGCTTGTGTGAATGATCGTTTCCATGAAAAACCCTTTCGTTTGTGTTTTGAGTCTCCTATGGACTCATTTCACCTTTTTGTTGAAAAACTCAGCCCAAGGGCATTTTGGGAATTTTCATTGGGAAATAAATTCCATTCTTAACTTCGTCTTATAGAAAATGTGATTTTAGGGGGAGTTTCTTCACGACATTTTTCCGAAAAATGTCATCTTGATCTCAAAAACCGCGCTCCAAACTCATTTTTCTGCTAAAACACTGTTTATGCTGTTTAAGTTCAACTCTAGTCAAGTTGAACCGGTTCAAGAATAGTTGAACCAGCTCAAGGTGTCATTTTAGTTTAGCTTAGGCATACTACCAATGTTGAACCGGTTCAAGTCTTCCAAAGTTTTCAGTTTTGGACTTCGAACTTCAAACTGATGTAACTTCTTTGTTTTAACTCCGAATTGGTCCGTTCTTGATCCTAAACTGACCGTGTTGAAGTCAGCTTTCCAATGAGAGGGTGTCAGATTCCTTTCCAAATTGGCAGATTCCTTTCCTAGCTCAAGATATCCTTGTTTTAGTGAGAGGGTGTCAGTTTTAGTTCGAACCGGGATATGGTTCATCTGGGATTTCTCTTCCTTTGGCCTTAGGACTTCATGTGAAGTTACCAAAGGATGGTTTTAGATGTTTTTAATCTAATTTGACTTGTGAAAGTTAAATTCCTTCCTTCTTGGGTAAAATGACCATTTTTACCCTTGGTCCTTCTTTCGGTAGGGTTTTGACACCCTTGTCTCTGTTTTGCTTCCGTTGAGCCTCGAAACTCCTCGAAGGGCCATTCTTGTGTCTTAGGGATGATGTACATCTCTAAGGACTTATTCTTGTTTTGCTTCCGCGTCAGTTCTTATTGAGTTCCATGACCTCATGGAAGGTCATCTTAGGGTTTTAGAGGTGTTTTGTGCCGTGGGGAACCGTTGTCTTGTTTCTAGCTTCCGCATCTTGGAGCTAGTTCAGGTCATCACAGTATACATGGGTTGAATAAAAACTCAGGTCGTTACACATTTGTTTGGGATCATCCAGACATAGTAGGAATCAATCTTTCAGTCTCATGCCATAGCCTGAAGGTGGATCCGGCGTTTAAGCCAGTTAAGCAAAAACGCAGAAGGTTTGCTCCTGAGCGCAATCGAATTATTGCTGAAGAAGTAAACAAATTGCTTCAGGCGGGCTTTATCCAAGAAGTGCATTATCCACAATGGCTCTCTAATGTGGTGGTAGTTTAGAAGAAGAATGGAAAATGGAGGTTGTGTATAGATTTTACCAATCTCAACAAAGCCTACCCTAAAGACAGTTTTCCGCTACCCAAAATAGACTAGATGGTTAACGCTACCACTAGTTTTAAGAGACTCATATTTCTTGTTGCATATTCTGGCTATAACCAAATCCCTTTGAATCCAGAAGATAAAGAGAAAAATCCCTTCATAACAAAGAAGGGCACCTACTGTTATAGAGTTATGCCCTTCGGACTCACGACTGCTGGGGCAACTTACCAATGCCTTACTAACAAGATCTTTGACGAGATGTTGGGAAAGACGGTCGAGGCCTACATCGATGACATGGTGGTTAAAAGTGTAAAGAATGGGGAACATCCCAGGCACTCCAAAAGGTCTTTGACACTTTAAGAAGGTATGACATAAAGCTGAACCCTTCGAAGTGCTCTTTTGTGGTTTCTTCAGGGCAGTTCCTTGGCTATATTGTTAACAAGAGGGGAATTGAGGTAAGTCTGGCTCAGGCTAAGGCCCTTATACAAAATCAAGAACCAAAAACTCGTAGGGAAGTACATGTGTTGACTGGTTGAATCGCAGTTTTTGGCCGCTTCATCTCTCAGTTATCAGATAAGTACAAACCATTCTTTAATGTAATAAGGTCCAAAAACAAAGACATATGAGGACCTCAACAACAAGCTACTCTCAATCAATTGAAGTGCTACATGGCTGAACCCCTAATTCTGTTGGCTCCGTAGCCTGGTGAAACTCATATCATGTACTTAGCAATCTCCTGCATAGCCACGAGTGCAGTACTAATAAGAAAAGAAGAGAAGAATTAGTATCTAGTCTTCTACACCAGTAAGACAATAACAGATACAGAAATATGATACAGCAAAGCAGAGAAGATTATACTAGCATTGGTATATGCAAAGAGAAAGCTTTAACATTATTTTGAGTCACATAGCATCACAGTTTTTTTACTTTATGGCTATGGCCTAGCCTTGTGCTTGTCATTTGGCCTTATTTTGTTGTTGTACCCTTGGGCTTGTGTTTTTGGGTTTATTACTCTTCAAGTTTTCCAATTCACTTACCCACTCTTGTATGTTTCTTCCACATAAAAAAGATCCCAAAACTTGAAGAGCTAATGGAAGACCTTTGGCATAAAATTTGACATAGTGTGAGAGTTCACTATAATTTTCTATAGGATTATTCAGCTTGAATGCATGCCAACTAAAAAGTTCAAGTGCTTCATAGTCATCTAATAGCTCAGCCTTGTATACTTTAACATTGTACTTTGTCAACAACCGTTCATTTCTTGTTGTTATGATAATCCTACTTCCCGAACCAAACCAATTATGTCCTATTCCAACTAAACTCATCAATTGCTTCTCATGATCTACATCATCAATAACTACAAGAATCTTTCTGTGCTCAAGTCTATCCTTTATCTCATTTATTCCTCTATCAGAGTTCGATACCCTTAAATCATATCCATTAGGGTCTTTCTCAAAAGTTTTTCTTGTAGTTTAGCTAAGCTTTCTTGTTTTGTTAACTCTTCCCTCACATTTTTTATAAAACAACTTCTTTCAAATTCTTTTGATATTCGGTTTAAAACCGCTTTAGGAAAACTGCTTTGGGAAGTGATATCTTTTGATATTTTTACTTTTGGGAAAACTGTTTTAATTAAATTGAATGGTTGAGTTTTAACTTCTCGTGCATTGAAAGATAGTGTATACATTTTAACTCCTAGCTCATATCAAATGCAAAATTATGAATTAAATGCAACTTTATCTAGATTGAATTTTAAAAAGAAAGACAGTTTCTCCAAACTCATTGTATCATTGGCATCTACAATTAAGTCACATCAATCAAAATAGGATTCAAAGGTTGGTTAAAGAAGGTTTATTACCTTGTGAGGTAGAGGAGCCTATGCCAATGTGTGAATCTTGTATTAAAGGAAAGTTGACTCAAAGGGCTTTCTCAGCCAAAGGATATATAGCCAAAAAACAATTAGAGTTGGCGCACACAGACGTGTGTGATCCTATAAACACCCAAGCAAGAGGAGGATTTGAGTACTTCATCACTTTCATTGATGATTATTCACATTTTGGATATATTTACCTAATACGACACGAGTCAGAAGCTTATGGAAAATTCTGTTAGTTTCAAGCGGAAGTGGAGTGTAGATTAAGTAAACTTATCAAAACACTTTGATCTAATCGAGGAGGTGAATGCCTCTTCAAGGAGTTCAAGGATCATATGGTCGATAAAGGTATTATGCGCCAGTTATCTGCACCTGACTGCCTCCAACAGAATGGAGTGGCAGAAAGGAGAAATAGAACTTTGCTTAACATGGTTAGATCTATGATGAGTTTTGCTACATTACCTCTATCATTTTGGGGATTAGCCTTAAAATCAGCGATGTACATCTTGAACTGTGTTCTATCTAAGTCTATTTTAGGAACACCATATGAGCTATGGTTTAGATAAAAACCTAGTTTAAATCATATGCATATATGGGTGTATCCAGTACACGTGCACAAGAAACAGGCAGACAAGTTGGGAGCAAGATCAGATGCATGCTTATTGTTTGGCTATCCTAAGGGCACTAGAGGTGGATTATTTTATGATCTCAGGACAATAATATTATTGTCAAAACTCACGCTGTATACCTGGAGGAGGATTATATTTTGAACCATATACCTAGTAGCCAAATAGTGTTAGAAGAGATGGTTGGCACATCAGATATACTCCTTATAGACACACCTAATATAAATACTGAGAATGACGAGACACAAGAAGTCTCTGTTGAAATACCATCATCTAGTACATCGATTTTTGCACCGGTCCTTCGTCGCAGTGGGAGGACTATCATCCGACCCGACAAACTAATGCTTTTGGGCGAGGTCTATGAGGCCATCCCCAATAAGCATGAGTCGAACCCAGTAAGCTATGTGGAAGCGTTAACCGATATAGATGCGAATCGTTGGAAAGATGCCATGAAATCAGAATTGGAATCTATGTATTCAAACAAAGTATGGGAAATTATAAAACTTCCTAGTGGGATTCAGCCCATTGGTTGTAAGTAGATCTACAAAAGAAAGAGAGGAATGGATGGGAATGTTGAGACATTCAAAGCTAGACTGGTTGCCAAAGGTTTCATTCAACATGAAGGTATTGATTATGAGGATACATTCTCACCAATTGCAATGATTAAATCTATTCGAATTCTTTTGGCCATTAGTACTCATTATGACTATGAGATATGGTAAATGGATGTTAAGACGGCATTTTTAAATGGCCATCTTGAACAAGACATCTACATGAGGCAACCAGACGGTTTCAGGGTAAAAGTCGTGAGGACTGTGTGTGTAAGTTAAATAGGTCTATTTATGGACTTAAACAAGCTTCACGCACATGGAACATTTGTTTTGATCAGGCAGTCAAATTATTTGGCTTTGAGCAAAACGTGTTTAAACCTTGCGTTTACAAGAAAAAACAGGATAATGTCATCATGATTCTCATTTTATATGTTGATGACATCTTACTCATTGGTAATAATGTAGAGGCTTTGTCATCAGTTAAAAGGTGGTTGTTCAATAAATTTGAGATGAAATATCTTAGAGAAGCAAGCTATATTCTTGGGATCAAGCTTTTGCGAGATCGAGTTAAAAAGAAAATAGGCTTGTCTCATGAGTTTTACATTAACAAAGTTCTGACCAGGTTTGGAATGGAAAACTCTAAGAAAGGGTTTTTACCATTTAGACATGGATTGGCTCTTTCCAATCCTGGACTTGATCATTGGTCAACTGTGAAGAATATCTTAAAATACCTTAGAAGAACAAAGAGTCTCATGCTAGTTTATGGACGGGATGATCTGGTTCTAATCAGATACATGGATTTTGATTTCCAATCGGATCTAGATGCCAGGAGATCTACATCTGGATATGTGTTCAAACTCAATGAAGGGGCAGTTAGTTGGAAGATTGTAAAGTAGGGTTGTATTGCTGACTCAACCATGGAAGCAGAATACCTTGCAGCCTTTGAGGTAGCAAAAAAAGCTATTTTGTTGAGTAACTTTCTAATTAAACTGGAAGTTGTGGAGCATATAGATCGGCCTTTGACACTTCATAGTGATAATAGTGTGGCTATAGCCCAAACCAAGGACCCAAAATTTCATAAAGGACCAAGACACATTCAGAGGAAACATCATGTGGTTCATGATATAGTAAAGCGAGGAGATATACTTGTGTCCAAGATTGCATCAGAACACAACCTTACTAATCTATTCACAAAGGCTTTACCGATCAAGATCTTTGATCGTCATATGGAAATCATGGGAGTTAGATGTCATTCAAAATTGGTTGTAAGGGCAAGTGGGAGCTGTTGGGATATGTGTGCCCTAGCATAGCAAATTCTTATTTGAATTGTAAAGTCATGGTTCCTTATCTGAATATTATTATTAAGGCATTATACAATTGGTGAATGGAATATATTATTTGTTTTCAATTCATTATGGAATTAATTGTGTCCACTTGATTACAAGATATATTTATATATGTATGTAAATGCAATTAATACTAAGTTATAAATTAGTAATCATAAATGGTTCAAAGTCGATAATTATGGATGGACATTTAATTAACTAAGACTTGAACCGAGTCTACGATAAGTTGAGATATATTGCAAGAGCCGTCATATGCAATTGCTCTCTATCACAATCGTGGCTTTTGACTCTCAAGCATGAGAGAAGTATAGACTCTTTTATTAATTAATAATTACTTTGATTTATTCAGTGGATACTTCGGGATCCTTAGACCGACACTTTGGGTAGTTATGTAATTAATAGTTAGAGGGTTATATTCTCAATATTTGCATCAGTGCTACTTGTATTTATTTTGTATTGATTATTGTTGATCACAAATTAAATTCGAAGGCCTTTGTATGTTTTAAACAAAATGTTTTCTATATATTTATTTAGTAAGTTATTATTTTTGTCTAACAAATATTTTAGT